CGCGGCCGCCAGGCGCTCGCTTGGTTTGCAACTTCTCTATTATTATTATTTTAGTCCTCACCTGAGAATGTGCTTTTATGGATTTTAGAGAGAGGGATGGAGGGAGAGAGAGAAACATCGATCACTTGCCTCCCATACGCGCCTGAGTCAGGGATCTAACCTGCAACCTGGATATGTGCCCTGACCAGGAATCAAACCCACGACCCTTCTGTGCATAGGAAGACAGGAGGGCTCCGGGCTGGGGACGAGCCAGCCTGCTGGTGCCTCCACTCCGCCCAGCCTCCCTCTCTGACCCAAGGCGCCACGCCTCCCAACCCCGGAAAGGTGGACAGCCACAGGGCCTGGGACTGGCTCTGGGGCTCATGAAGGTCCCCAGGGGGCGCCCCTCAGGGGAAGACTCAGTGGCAAGACCCTTTCTGGCTCCATCGCTGAGTTTCTTCCCCAGGTGCCTGCCCAGTTTCAAGGCTCTAAACCCACTTTTCTGTTTCACTGGTTCCCAAACCTGTGTCCCCAGCGCACCTGTCCTGGAATGACATTTTTATGGACCTCAGCCAGGGCTACCAGTGAGCCATTCCCCACCTCAGACCTGCCCCTCTTCTATTTTCCTCAACTCGGGGAAGGAAAAAAGTATATATTTTAAAAATCCACTGGCACACAGAGAACAGGCTGATGGTTGCCAGAGGGGAGGGGAATGGGAGGTGGGTGAAAAGGGGAGGGATTAAGAAGTGCAGATTGGTAGTTCCAGGCCCTGACTGGGTGGCTCCACTGGTTAGAGCATTGTCCCCACAGGCCAAGGTTTCCCTCCCATCGGTCAGAAGCAACAAATTAATGCATAAATAATGAAACAACACACTGATGTTTCTATCTCTCCCTCTCTCTAAAATCAGTAATAACGAAAATTCAAATTGGTAGTTACAAAACAGTCCGGGATGTAAAGTACAGCATAGGGAATACAGTCAGTACTATTGTAATGACCATGCATGGTGTCAGGTGGCTACTGGAAATATCTGGGGAAGACTGTAAAGTATATGATTGTCTAACCACTATGCCGTCCGCCTGAAATTAATAGAAAACCATATGGACTGTAAACTGTAATTTAAAAACAAATCCAATGGCTCCGTCCACTTTATTCCCGATCCCTCTCCCCACTTGTCTCCATTTCTGCTGCTACCAGCCCCCCAGCCCTCACCCGGACACTGGCTGCCGGGGCCTCTCTGGCTGCCCTTCACTCTTGCCCCCACAGCTTACACATCTCGCTGCGGTCAGGGTGTGTGCTTATGCATACAACAAATAAAGCTTTTACTTACAACAGTTGAGATGTAGAAAAACTTGCAAAGGTACTTGTACAGAGAATTCCCCTATACCAGCCGTGGGCAAACTACGGCCCGCAGGCCGGATCCGGCCCGTTTGAAATGAATAAAACTAAAAAAAAAAAAAAAAAAAAACC